CAAGTGTGGACGCGTGCGGCGGCGTGCTGATACAACAACACGCCGCCGCACGCGAGTGTGTGTGTGTGTGTGCGTATACCTAATCTGTAGGGTGTTCATACGATGCGTAATTAATTACATAACTTTTGGTTAACTTTACTTAGAAGTTTATTAATATTTATGTTATATTAATTTTTATTTTGTCATATATGATCGTCAAATATCACGTCCTCAAATATCGATAGTAATTCACCAGTCACCCTGTATATATAATACAAGATAATATACTAATAATATATTATATATATTACAGTTACAACAATGAGCCGAGCTGTATAAGCGCCACCCACCCACACCTCAACATGTACTGCTACTGTACCCAATAGACATTAACAATATATAGTATGGAAATGAAACATTATACGGATATGTTTTATAAAACATATCCGTATATTCTCTTCATATATACTATAGTATATATGAAGAGAATTATATATACAATAATATAATACAACATCAATATATGTTATTCTGTAGGTGAATATAATGTTCTACTGTGATTGTTAATACACATGTCTTTCCTTATATATTATATTATATAATTGGCACAAACTATTGTTTTAGTATAAATGAAGATATGTTTATACTCAGTATGTATTCAGTTCAAGTTGTTTATAGCGGGGTGATGTGTTAGTGTTCCTGAGTTACCTGTAACGTTAGTATTATCTATAAATTTAAGCCTCTCATAATAATTATTAATATGAATATAACAACTCGGTGATAATAATTAGTTTTTATTTTTATTATGTACAAAAGACATACCAAACATTATAATATTTTTTGTAATCTACTTTGATTTTTAACTTTCTACTTTTATATGTTATCTTTTACTTTTGAGATAATTTATTGCTTGATTGTTATAATCTTAAATAAATCTTTTTTTTCTAAAATAACTAGGTACGTTTTTTATTATAAAATACACAAATAGTTATGTTACCAATGCAATTTTTATAGTTCCACTTTTTAAATGTTATTAAGTATATAGGAATTACTTTGTAAGTACAGATGAAAATAGGGTATTTGGATACTATGCGTTCCTCTTTATTTTATTACTACATAATAGCCAAGTTACGGATCCCTTGCATTAACCGTGATCACGGGCACACGAGATAAAAGTGTCTGTCAGTTAGTCTTTTTATTTGTCACTATGTCTCCTAAGGTATTCTGGTATGATTACGGACATAATATTTTATATTTTTTTTAATTAAGGGGTCCCAGGTGTTAAATAAAGTCCAGCCTTCTCTAATGAAATTCAAAAACATCCGCTCTTCAATAGAGAAAATGACTGGACTGGTAAGGGGCTGAAACGTCAGAATTGTTTAGTAGAAAAATAATAAAAAAAGAACGTTGCAGTATCCGAAAACCTTAGTTTCATATAAATGAATACACTCGAAAATCTTACATATTATGTTTAAGAAATATACAAAATGAAACAATGATATGTACATATTTTTAATAAGATCTAGATTGTTATGACTATTTTAAATATTAATATAACAATCACAGAAAAATAGATTTATTATTAAATATTAATTTTAATCTAATAAAGAAGTACCTTATAATAAAGTTCCTTAGTAGGGGTTCATCTTTTTCATTTCATTACATCTAGTCTAGTAAACAGTTCTTAAATATATTATGATCAGGAATAAACAATGAACTTGATTTACGAAATGAAATTGAATATAAGTGTATAAAGAAATCTTTTTTTGTTATATTTCTGATACTCCGTTGTGATATTGGTCATAAACTTGAAATTATAAAATGGAGAAAAGGGACACGAGTTTTGTTTTTATTTGATTTCTCTACCAGAAACCGATTGTATTTCAGTATAACAAACTTATACAGGAGAATGCTTGTAGGATTCTTACACCGACAAGACACCGAGACCTGAGTCGTCGTTTCTTTGATTCCCTTTGAACCAATGCCAATGAAATATATATATATATATAGTATACAACCACTCAGAAGGGACTCAGACCAAAACAGGACATTAAATAACTGCACTTTATATAATCTTTAAAAAAAATGTTTGGACAAACAAAAAAGGCAATGACTTAAAAAAATTAGTTTTGAAAATATACTACTACTACAACAAAAAAAAAAACTAGGAGATTCTAGAATGTACTTAACGAAAAATTTGTAATTAAAAAAGAATTTGTGAATAGGTTTTGAGATATTCACACTGAGATAAACTAAAAATAATTATGCTTCTAGACAAAACAGGATTTAATGAACATACAACGTTTTGATTTCCTTAAATCGCTTAAAAGCACGAAGAGCTAACTTTCATTTACTTTAGATGTTAATATAATAAAAAAAATTAATAAATGTCACTTCAATCAAAAGATATAGGTACATATTTTTGACAATTTGGTCAAGTAAACGACATCTCTAGCTTTTAAATTATTATTATATAATACTAGCTGCTCCCCACGGTGTTAAACACGGATTTCCGTGATGTAAAGTAGCCTATTTGTCATTCCTGGACGTCAGCTTCCCGTATACAAAACTGAATCAAAATCGGTTCAGCCTTCAACATACACACACACTCACAAACTTTCGCAATTAAAATATTAGTAGGATGTTATATAATCGATAAATTGCATGAACTGTGAGCGAGCTTATTTATTATTGAAAAAAGTTATTTATAATAACTCTTAATTGTTATAACGAAAAAAAATTTGAATTTTTTCATACTAATTTATTTACGAGAATACATTACGCAAATCGTTGTTGTAATCCGCTTGTCTGTTACTGTCGTAGCCTGATCCGGCACCGACGTCCTCGTATGAGATTCTGGGCTTGAAACCGTCCTGGTCGGCTTCATATTCAACGGTCTGGTGACAAATAATTCATTTCATAAGTCATTCTCATAATCTCTATTGTGTTAATAACAACAACCCATCCTCCTACTATATATTACCTGTTTCCTTCCATCAGGTAAGACGACGTAGTAGCTTCCCTTAGCGCGGTCCCCTCGTCGTGACTCTCGGTGACCGAAGTCGTTGTCGGAGGGAGCGTCCTGGACCATGTATTCAAAGTCGTAGTTCGCAGGCTCCTGTTAGTGAAGATTGTTATTAAAATGACTTAAAAATAATACTTGAAAGAAGAGTAATTATGATACTAAGATATAAAAAGATATGTGGCCATACAAAACAATAGTATGGGACATTTATGAACTTTAGCAGTTATACTCGTAATGAGTATTCTAGTATTCCAAGTCTTGATTGAATCCATCCCTAATTCTCTAATATTAAACTCACTCCATTGCTTCCATCATCATATCCTCGAGCACTGGGAGGGAGGTACTGTCTGCTTTGTTGGTTGGCATATTTGTTGTCACTACCACCTTGAAATAATTGGATAATATTAGAATTGAAATGTAGTAGGGAACACAGGCATGCGTTCAAACTGTGAAAAAGATATAAGTTCTGGGATCTAAGATTTTCGCGAGTATTACTACGCATTCTTTTTATTTTTTACTGTCAACTACATACTCCCGACGTTTCGGTTACTTTACAGCAACCGTGATCATGGTAAAAAACGCGTAATTAATCCGAAAATATAAGTTTTATTTATATGAGTACTGGATTTTTAATTTTTGTTCAGTAAATATTATTATAAATACAACATACTTCGTTCAAATCCAGGGGCCCCATATTCTTGAGAGGGACCATTGGATCCAGCCTGATCTGGTGCACCGTATTGAGTGGAAGGTGCTTGGTATTAGTTTACAGGTGGCAAGTATTGTACCTTTGGTGCTTGGTATTGGCTCGGAGCTGAATTTTGGTTCCCATAAGCTTGATACTGGTTGGTTGGTGGTTAGTATTGGCCGGTGGCTGCTTGCTTTTGTCCTTTATATTGGTTGTTCGGTGCTTCTTACTGAGAGGAAGGAGTTTTGGGTAGTCCGTATTGAGAGTTTGGTTTCCGGATACTTGCAGGTGGTCCGTAGGCAGATGAAGGACTTCCTCTGTAATATTTTGTCAAATTCGATCTATGTTTTTATATAATACTTAATAGTTTTTTGCAACCACAAGGAATTTTTAATATTTAGTACATGTTATGGAAACAATTAGAAAAGAAAATTGATATATTATATTATTATGATTTGTTTATTAACCTAAAGACAGCTTCAGTCTGTCTCTGACTGAATCCTGGAACACCGTAACTCTGAGAGGGAGACGCGTTCCTCGCTTGTGGAGGAAGATACATGGAGATTATACTTTCATTAGTGAAGGTAGTGAGGAAGAGAAATATTCATATAGAAGAATAATTTGAATTCCTTTATTATTATTAATATTAGCTCAATGTTTTGTTACCTTTTATTAACTGGTGGCTCCGTCAAACACGAAGCCACAAGTAACGAACACACTATGAAACACTGAAAACAATATGGCATTAGAATGAATGAATTAATGAAATATATTACAAATAAAATCTATACTAATATTATAAAGCTGAAGAGTTTGTTTGTTTGAATGCGCTAATCTCCGAAACTAATGGTTCGAATTAAATAATTCTTTTTGTGTTGGATAGTCCAGCTATCGAGGAAGGCTGTAGACTATATAACATCACGCTATGACTAATAGGAGCAAAGATATAGTGGTAGATGTGTAAAAAACGGGAGACATTATTTCATCTTTGAAGCCTTCCGTTGCGTGCGCTAGCTAACAAACAGAATAACGTTACAACAAAGGGCCAAGTAATGTTCACAAACTAAGCCTGCCCGAACTATCGTGCATCATACAATATGTAAGTAGATATAGGGGAAGGGAGGGCAATATGGAAGGTCTAACTTTGTGTTGTAAAAACAAAAAAATACATAGCATAATTTTTTTATTTTAATCAATCTTGAGAGATGAAGATACACTAATAAAATTCTGTAGTTAACAATAATTAATACTTGTTCCAAAATCCGTAACAATTAAAAAAGTATAATCGTGTCATATTCCAATATGCTCTCATGTGGAAGGCAAAATGGAAACCCTTATGCGGGCAAGATGGAATATTAGGAAAGTCTTAGGGTTTACAGTTGATACATAAGAAATAGCCACGTTCTGTATCAGAACGTAACTCATGTGCCCAACCATAACACGACTGGCATTGCAGCCAGCTTTCTGTAGGTGGCTCTTCATATTTTTCTCCACAAAGCAGGCAAAACACATCCTCCTCATTCCCTGCCTCGGTTTCTTCTCTTCTTTTTGCTTTTCCTTTCTCTTTTCCTTTTCCCGTTCCTTTTCTTCTTCTCTTCCTTTTCCCTCGCAATCATATTTTTCTTCGTTGTTTTTTCTGTTTTCCATCTTGCCCTAAAATTCAGATTTCCAACTTGCCCATAAGCCAATTCTAATAATAATATCTACGCATCTATACTTAACCAATTTTTTTTTTCTATATATCAATTCGAACACTCGATTTCTGATAGATACGTACTGCCAAAACGGAATAGTAGTAATGCTTACCTTTTCCAAACAGTTTTATCGCAAAATAACAATATTTTTGTAATGAAAAAGCATCAAATAAACAAATTAAACGTACACTCTACTGGCTGAAGCAAACCGGACTAAACTTCGTGCGTAAATTCAAGATGACCGAACCTATTTGTTTACGTAGCGGTGCGTGCGACAAGTCACTTGTTTTTGTTCTACAGGCAGTTTCCATCTTACCCGCTCCTTCCATCTTACCCTCCCTTCCCCTATAGATATCGTATTACTTATTAAAACTAATTTATAATAAAAATATCATTCATTCTGTATATTTCGATGATTTTGCAATTTGATAACTTTGCTTTAATTAAATTATCTTAACAGCGAAAATCTAAAGCAATAAAGTAAATTCGATTTATATAAGCTTTGATAGCAATTATTAACAACTTGTATATTTTTATTCTTAAAATATATTTCCATCATAAACTTAATATTTGTAAGGGACAATCAACCTCTATGCATTCAAGCATAAGTTAATTCTCGTTATGAATTCGTTAACTAATAAATAGTTAAGTAAACAAAACATTATAATCAACAACATGACGATTGAAGTCAAATAGTCGTAAGGTAATTTGAGGTAAGTCGACTTAAAATAGTTTTCAGATATTTGAAATTCCAATTTCATTTTTAGGGCAAGTTATTAATAACATGCAACTATTAATTCTTATAGTACTCATTGGCACCATTAGAAACAAATGAATACAAGTTTGGTACTTTTGAATATGACATGACAACAGGATCGAGGATAGTGCTTATAAATCTGTAACGATTCTTTTATTATAATTGGCGTAATAGAATATTGAAAACTATACAAAAATCTGTGAGGATTTACCACTAAACTTATACTAAGATATGTATATTTTAATTCTTTCAATCAATTTAAGGATATCGCCATCATAGTAAGAGACATAATATTTTCAGTTTCTGTGTCGGATCAAAAACCAAAATGTTTTCATTCAAATAAAAAGCAAATGTAATAAAAGCGTCGAAAGTTAAAAAATTGTTTGAGCTGTGAAATGCAAGGCCGGAGTGTTTTGTTCCCGGTTCAATAACAAATCCGACTGAGCAGAGGTAAGTGCACAAACTCCGGGAAATTCTAACTTTTAATTTCATTTTGAAGAATGTTTGTAATGATTATACATTTGACTCAGATTAATGAAAACATCGATGGTAGTATTTGTGTGTATTTAATCATGAAGAGTAACATACATCGACATCAATATATCTTTATTCGGTAGCTTTTTTTTAATATTTTTTTTCAAACCATTTATTGAACTGTATTTATTATACAAATTGTGATTTATATCCTAGGTGACCGATCCATAAATTTTTGACATCTCTAGACTTTACAATACAATTAGTTACTATAGGACGCCACCTCAAATAATGAAATCTTTAGAAATAACAATTTCATTTAAATCAGCCAACCCGTTTATTTTCCCACTCTTTCCAAGATATTCGACAAATAATATATTTTTGTTTCCAGAGAATGTTACAGAGCCGTATTTAGTATTTTTATTTATCTCACCAAAAACATGCCTGTTAAAAAGTGGGCCAAGTTCCAATCGGCTAATTGTTTGCCTAAAAAAGGGTTAAAATCCAATCTAATGCCAAGTATAGATGCACTTTGAAATCGATCATAATCATCTTCATCAACAGCATGATCCACTGGTAAATATTTGCCATTCCCAAGACTCGCCACCACACCCAGTCCTCTGCCTTCCACATCCAGCCACTACCCGCCACCTTATTCACGTCAACGGTCCATCTGGCCGAAATTCACTTTACCATACACCCAACTTAAAATATGGTATAGTTGTGAAAATACGTAGGTGCTTGGTTAAAAATATCTAAAATTATAATACTTCTTAATTTCTTAATTAATTTAAGAGTCTTTTACTTAATTCTGTTACAGTATAAATCTTTACTGCACAAAATTATGTCATTTTAGTGAAAAATTCCCATTGTTGTAAATATCTTTGAGAAAATAAGAACTCTTCATTATATTTGTCATAATAATTTCCTCTTCTAATGATCAATGAATTAATTATAATAACATAATATATGAGATGCACTATAAACATACAAAAATTATGATGGTGTGCACATATGTAATACATGATGTTACTTTTTTCGACATGTTTCGACGGAGATTTAAAGAAAAAACAAATAGAAGACGTAGTTCCTCTTATATTCTTCTATATTTTATATAGTGTGTTTCCAAATATTTAATAAAACATGTATCCGAAGCTGAGGGTACAATAATACACCGCGTTGTTCCCAGCCTCGATACCAAGATGACGTCATCACGAAACAATAGAACATTGAAGCTCCTCACAGTAACGAAACCTGTTAGTGGAGAATGAACTCGTGACTATACGAGTATGTAAACAGGATTATAAATCAAACAGATTGTAAGTTTAGTATTTCACCTTGTTTCACAATATTTACAACAATTTAGGACAAAATTTTGTGAATTTTCTAGAATATTCTGTGTCAACCAACGTCTGATCTCACTTCTTAGCTACATAGATTCATATCTCCTGACAACTCTTTTAATAATAAAGTTATCCATACATTAATTCTGGTGAAATAAAAAAATCTCATTTCTTACAAAGGAAAATTTTATTCAAGTTAGGTATATAAGAAAATAACATCAAATTATTTACAACGTCAAAATATATTTTTTCCTTCAAATCTCATTTACAATATTTTCATATTTCAGTAAATAATTCAGCATTCAACTTTCTTATTTATTAACTGATGATAAAAAGTCAGGCTTGTGTCCGTTCTATGAATTTGTTAATTGAATTATTGAAACGTATTTAATGAAGTTACGAGAAAATTATGACGTCCGATGAAAAAAACTGTTGATAATTGTATGAAGCACAGGAACGAGTTTGTGTGGAGATAGTTTAATATTGATAAATGTTTTCATTTAATAGTTCACATCTTATTGAAACTTCTATCACTAAGAACATCTGAAACACGTCCTCACCAGCTCCTGACTGTTCGTTGTAGTCTTAATGGCTTTGTGAGTACTCTCTGTGTGAGATGTTATTACATTTTTTATATTCTATTTTAGTTTATATATATTTATAACTCGAGTAGTATATAAAAGCAGTAGAAAATGTATCACTATCATGGAATTTAAATTTTCTGTTGACAAAAAACAAATTCAATAATGTTTTCACACGTCTTTCAGTTTTAATTTAGTCCTGAGATAGCCTCAAATATCTCAACCCGTCACCGGCGTGCGAATCGGCAATTTTATCAAAAAATCCAATTTCCGCCTTCGCCTGTCACGTACAGTCAGCAGAAAAGTTGGAAAAAAACTGCACAGCGAGCTTGAAATTTATAACTTTTTGAACGTTTTCTACGTACAAACAAAAAATATATATAGTTTAAAATAGTCTGACAGAAATATGTTTACAGAAAAATATTCAAGTAAAACTGTTATATATATAAGATGAATACGGCTTTTACAAATATTGAGAGACCAAAGATATTTGACTTAAAATTTGTAAATACATAGTTGATTGAATTCCATCGCTCATATTAATTAACGGAATTACTTTTGTCATCACAACCGACAGAATAACCATTAATATTTCTACGGATTTAATTATTTTAATTTCAAATATAATATAACTTTGCCTGCCGGATGTACTCGGCTAATCGATGTATTAAGGCTGTATCGGCTCGTCACCGGACCGGTTCCTTTAACGATTGTAGAACTCGTTACTTCACTCAACAGATAACGGAACAGAAAACTTACATGAAACTGTTTTACGATATTTGATAAAACACGAACGATATATAAGTACAGAGCCTCAATGGTTTTGATGTTTTAATAGTTATTCTTTTCCAGATTATTCAGGTTCCGGTTTTTTTAATTATTTTTAATACTATTGGCAATAAAAAAATTACTTTGCATCCATTTAGCTACAAGTATTAGTAAGTATATAAATTATAAAGCTTTAATATTTGAAATATAATAATGAAGGTTATTCGATCTAAATGAAGACTAAAATGGTAAGTTTTACTATTACAAAATCTCAAGGAGTCCATAATTACTTTAAAATTTATTGAATTTAAACATTATTCTAGGTCATGATAAAATATTTGTACACTTCATATAAATACCTTAATATTAAAACATCAATGTTCCAGAATTGTATAAAAATGGTTTTAAATTTTATAAATAGCCATTTCAATTTAATTCTGAGCTTTGGTTTGCGAAAATAATTGCGTCATGCCGAGGACAATTGATATCGCTACGTTTACAGTCCTCTCTCAATAAGATATAAATTTATTAACTTGAAAATATCATAAAATAAAACATACTTTATGATATTATTGAGACACTTCAATAAACTTAAATCAAGATACTTTAATAAATTGAATGTAAACAGTGGAACTTGACATTTAAAATGCAACTCTATTCCATGAGAAGACGACTCAAAATCCTATTTAATTTAAAGAAATCAGTTTGTCTGTAGAGTTAGAGAAAGCGCAGCTCGTTTGAGGAAAAATCCAAAAAATAAGCGAATTATATCTAATTGGAAGCTTTTGAGTGATCCTTTTTCCGATAATTAATAATTAATTGTGTTCTGACAATTTAAGGTGTTTTCATCGGAAAGTTTCATTCCTTTGTCTGTTTTTTATACAGAACAAGAACACTTCAATGAATTAATTATATTTTTAATCCTATACATTAATCTTTGTAATATATATTTAGAAAAAAGAAATTAAATTAAAGGGTCTACTAAAACACGATCAAACACCAAGAATTGTCAATTCTAGAGTGCTTTCTC